GACGACGACGACTACTACTACTACGACTACTACTACTACGACGACTGCTACGACCACTAACTACTACTACTACTACTACTACTACTACTACTACTACTACTACTACTACTACTACTACTACTACTACTACTACAAACTACTACTACTACTACTACTACTACTACTACTACTACTACTACTACTACTACTACTACTACTACTACTACTACTACTACTACTACTACTACTACTACTACTACTACTACTACTACTACTACTACTACTACTACTACTACTACTACTACTACTACTACTACTACTACTACTACTACTACTACTACTACTACTACTACTACTACTACTACTACTACTACTACTACTACTACTACTACTACTACTACTACTACTACTACTACTACTACTACTACTACTACTGCTACTACTACTACTACTACTACTACTACTATAACTGCGACTATTGCTACTACTACTCCTCCTTCTCCTCCTGCTTTCCTCTCTCCCTTCCCTCACCCGTCTCCTTTTCTAATTGCGCGCTCTACTTAGTTGACCGACAAGGCCTGTCTCCTCGCCCGGTGATTGCCTCCCTTTTTCGCTGATCTGCGGGGCGTGCCAACAACGGCGCGCGCGCTTTGCACAGCGGCGTGCCTCCCTCTCTCTCTCTCTCTCTCTGTTGTTGTCTATGTCTCCATCTCGCTACATAAATGAATAAAAACAACTAATAAGTATGTATATGCGTATAGAAAATGTACATCTACATATGTATATATACACATGTAGGTAAATATCTATATATATATATATACACACACACAACCATCGCGCGCGCTTCGCGCGCGCTCAGGTTCTAGCCCAGGCTGGGGGGGCGCTGGACGATCTTGGACAGCGCTATCAAGCACAGGCGCGCGACGGCATCTGAGGAGCTTCTGGGGTGTTCCGCATGCTTCGTCAACTGGCTGTTGGAGGCACCTCTTGGGTGCCTCTTGGGGGGGCGTCTGAGGGTCCCTTGGGGGCATCGGCTCTGCAATCTGAAGCCGTCATTGGCCGTCTTGGCTGCGTGGAGGCCCGACTTGAGGCCACCTGCGGCCAGATTGAGGCAATCCGGAAGCCTCCCGGGGGCCTCCTGGAAGCAGTTTTGACGCATCGAGGGCACTCTTGGGCTATTTTAAAACCTCTTGGACGTCTCCTAGGGGCCTTTTGGGCCCTCGGGAAGCTTTTGGGGTCCTCGTCGGACCACTTGGGGGCCTCTTGCGGCCTCCTGTGGGCCTTTTGGGGGGAACGCTCTGCTGCTGGGTCGCGTTCCCCTTCTTGGGCCTCTCTTGGGGCTCTTGGGGCCCTCTCGGGCCGTCTTGGGCGCCTCAAGCACCGTCTTGGGGCCCTCGCGGGCCGTCTTGGGGCCCTCTTGGAGGCCTCTTCCTCTATATTGGATCGGTATTGGAAGCCTCTTGAGCCGTCTTGGAGCATCGGGATGCCAAAAGGCCGACAAAAATTAAAACCCGTCAAAGCCCAATCGTAAAACAATGAGTTGTGCCTCTTGGGGCCACCTTGGGAGATCTCTTGCAACCTCGTCGGCCCTCTTGGGAGCTTCTTGGGGGCCTCTTGGATCCGATTGGGGGCCTCTTGGGACTTCCCGAGAACCTCTCGGGGTAGGAAGCTCGGATTCTCAGTTCGTGTTTCCCTTCATGGGCCTCTCTTGGGGCCGTCTTGGGGCCCTCTCGGGCCGTCTTGGGCGCCTCAGGCACCGCCTTGGGGCCCTCGTGGGCCGCCCAGGGCCCACTTGAAAGTCTCTTCGGCTATCTTGGAGCTGTCTTGGAGGCCTCTTCCTCCTCCTTGTCCCCCTCCTCCTCCTCATCCTCCTCCTCCTCCTCCTCCTCCTCCTCCTCGTCCTCCTCCTCCCACTCCAGCTCTCTCTCCTCCTGATCTTCCTCCTCCTCCTCCTCCTCCTCCTCCTGCAGCGTGTTCCGGAAGGCTCCCGCCGGAACATGCTGTGCACAAGTGCTGTCGCTGCTCCCGCCGCCGTGCCCTGGGTGGTGGGTCAGAGGCCTCATGGGTGTTGGTTTGGATCTCGGCCTGTCGGGGACGTCGTGAAGGCAGTTTCACAGCTTCTCGGAAGCCGTTTTGGGACCGTTGTGGGGCCTCCTCCGGGCTGTTTTGTGGCCTCTTTAGGCCTCGTTTGGACCTCCTGGGTGCCTCTTGGGGGCCTCCTGGGGCCTCTTGGGGGCTCCTTGGGGCCTACTGGGGCACTCTTCAAGCGGGAGGGTCGAATTTGGGAGTCGTGGTCCCCCGGTCCCCCTCTTGGGCGCATCTTGGGGCCGTCTTGGGGCTCTGTTGGGCTGTCTTGGGCGACTCTGGGGCCGTCTTGGGGCCCTCTTGGGCCGTCTTGGTGCGCTCTTGGGGGCCTATTGAGCCGTCTTGGACGTCG